AAGATATGATATGAGGGGTGGGACATGATATAGGGGGTGGGACGGGAACATATTTGGTGGGGGTCACAAAGTGATAACGACTGATAAGAGCAGATAAGAGGCGCTGAAACACAAATTTCACGAAATTCATAGTGCGCTTCGCAGCAGTCGTCAGGAGCTGATTTTGGGACATGATATAGGGGGTGGGACGGGAACATATTTGGTGGGGGTCAAAAAGTGATAACGACTGATGAGGACTGATAGTAACGATATGCGTACGAACGTAGAGAGCACTTGAAACAGATTGTAGATAATGCATTTCATTTCAATATCATTTCATCAGCGTTGTAATTGTAAACTCAAACACCTTTCGACCGCTACACCTTCTAGAGTTCTTGAGGATGAATGGGATGCTCGAATAAATATGATAATGAATACTGGGCATTCCGTTTTGAGATATTCGACCGCTAAATTACCTCGATACTCGACGCATAGTGGTTGTTTACATCATCACTTTAGCTGTGCACTTCACTGCGCTTATCAAACAGTGAGATACAGCCAAGATGGGCAGCCTATGCAACGGACAGTAATACATTTAACGAAGCAGCTATAATTTAGCGGTGAAACCTAAAGCTTCATCGATTGTCAGTTCTATCAATGCGCGCGGTAGCGGGCGGAGCTAAACTGGTAATGAAATAATCACACTAAGAAAATCGAAGAGAAAAAAATCGAAGAAGAAGAATATCGAAGAAGAAGAATAAAGCTAGCTAGTTAGTTATTGCCCAGAGTTCACTTCAATCGACACTCAAATCGGAGATTACTTTTGTAAGAGCGATTCTGCAGAGTGATACGTAGGGAGCCACGGTGGTTAACGTAAGCAATTCACGAAAAAACTGGGGCACGCAGCTGAGCTGAAGCACTGGTGCAAGCGTCCTTAAGACAGTGCTGTAGTGTATAATATCACACATTTAGCAGCTACCCTAGAGTAGCTTTCCAAAATGCAAACAAAATTCTGCACGGCAGCGCACCGGACAGAAAGAGATTTTTGGCTCTCTGCGTGCTAGAGTCGACGTGGGTTACGGTGGATTTCTATAGACCGTGCTGAAGGATCTTGAGATTTTTTGTACATTATCCTGAAGCTGTCGACGGCCAGTAATTTGATAGGATTCGCGTCCTTAATGACATGGATTGGAACAACGAAGAGCGAATAGGTAACAAATCGAAGTACTGACAATCTTTCATCGCTTTCCAACGACCTATTCATCCTTCCCTCTGACCTATTTATATTTCTCCTGTATACATTTCTTTTCGCTCCCAAGCAATGCCCACCTTATGAAAGTAAGTAGCCTCGCAGTTCCAGAAATTGGAGAACGCACATAGACTGGCCGATATGCAAAATCGAAAAAAGCTTACATCAAAAGCGGTGAAGTTGGGCGGGTATCACTTCATTATATAAACATATAAACCAGAAGTTTGGTGTGTCGGTTTGTTTGTGTGTTTGCACGTCTGTCTGTCCGTCCGCAAAATGGTCGACTAGAGGCGAAAGATATCGTGATTGTGATACCACTTTCCTACCAGTATAAGAACAACCATTCAGTAGGATCGAATTCATTTCGGGGGTTTGGCTGTAAAGCAAGAGCTAAGGATTAGGCCTGTGGGCAGTCACCGCGCGACGTCGTACACGCGGCTTGCCGCGTGCGGGAAACCGCGCGACAAATTCGAGCGAGGTTTTAGGCATTTACTGCTTCCCGCGCCTGTGTATTCGTCAGTT